GGAGATTTCAATTCTCTGCCCCTTAACCCAAGACCCCAAACCCTAAACCCTAAGCGCATTCAACCCTAAACCCTCAACCCTAGCCCTAAACCCTAAACCCTAAACCCTAAGCCCTAAACCCTAAACGCCCACCCTCAACCCTAAACCCTCTGGCAGGAGAACTTTGCCTCTGGCACATTTCGAATCCTTAGCCCCCCGGCTCAAAAAGGCTTTGGGCTGGACCAGGGACCGGGTCTGATCAGGGTTTAGGGTTTAGGGTTTAGGGTTTAGGGTTTAGGGTTTAGGGTTTAGGGTTTAGGGTTTAGGGTTTAGGGTTTAGGGAGGGCCCTATATAGGGTTTATAGGGCTTATAGAGTTTATAGTGTTTAGGGTTTAGGGGTTTAATTAGGTCTTGGGGGTTTAGGGTTTAGGGGTTTAGGGCTTAGGGTTCAGGGTTTAGGGTTTGGGGTTTAGGGTTTAGGGACCCAAAACGCACATAAGCATAAGCTTTTTTATAGGGATATCCCTACCTTATTGGGCTTCATTATAAGGGGATTTATATGGGATATCCGGATCCTAATTTGTGCTTATGTGCTTTTTGTGGGCCCTAATAATGTAGGGGCCTTAATAACTAGAATAGGGTTTTGGGGGCCATTTTACTATACTTATAATAGGGGGCCCCCCAAAAAATAGTCTAGGTAATTATTAAGGCCCCTACATTATAGTCGTAAAGTCATCATGATCTTATTGTTACTACTGTTGTTGCTATCGTACTACCATTCTTCTTGTTTTTGTCATTGCTACTTGTTCCCGAAGTTTGGTTGGATCCTCCATGAGTCTCCATAACACCCCTGAAATCACCCCAGAGACTTGAATGGGGTCTTCGTTTATCATCTGCTCAGGAATCCTGCGGCTGGCTCGCTCCGCACGAGGGCTGAGGATTATTCGGCTGATCCGAGCCTTTGACACACCACCGACCCGACAAAGCCCCCGAACCCCATAACTTGCGGTTTCGATCTTCAGGTTTACCTATGGTCTAGTGCTTAGAATTAAAAGCCCCAAGCCCTAAGCCCTAAACCCTAAACCCGTAAACCCTCAACCCTGAACCCTAAGCCCTAAACCCTAAACCCTAAACCCCTACGCCCTAAACCCTAAAAGCCACAGCTTTGTCAGGATTCATCCGCCCCCTCCGGATTCTGGTGTTCTCCATTGGCATCACCCTCAAGTCTCTGATCTGGACACCCAGCTTCAACGAAGATAGGGCTTTGGGGTTTAGGGCTTTAGGGTTAAGGGTGAAACCCCAAACGCCGAACATTTAACCCGAACCCCTAACCCCTGTTGCTATGCAGATTGACCTCTCCATGCTGAGAAGCCCAAAAACCTACCCTTTGTTCCTCAACCAGGCTTCATTCTATATTCTTCCTTAAAAACGTGTGCTTTTCGGGTTCCTTAGTGAGTTTCTTTATGTCATTCCTCAGAAAAGTAGGTTTCTACGGTTCCTTCTTGAGGTTTCTTTCTGAAAATCCTTACAAAGGCAGGGTTTTAGGGTTTAGGGTTTAGGGTTTTAGGGCTTCTATAGGTTCCAGAGACCCTGGCAACTGAGGTCCGTGATTTTGCTGCTGCTCATCATCTACTTGTTTTCCATCCTCTTCTCCGACGCCTACCTGACCACCATGACCATGCCATCAGACCCCCCAGTCAACGTTGATGAACTGCGAAACTTCTTTGGAAGCCTGCAGATTTCAATGTTCACGCTCCTCGTCTTGGCTGATCCCTGCGTGCATCGCGGGCTGCTGATTTCAGTCCTGCATAGACCAAGGCTTTTCGCAGCAATTTCCGGAGGTTTGGAATGGAGGCAGGTTGCCGCGGCCAGAACCTGCAAGCCGATTTTCCCCATCTTCTTTGCAGGCATGCAATGTCATCCTTGAACATGGTTGGCTGGGTGTGGACTTCCCTCTTCATTCTGTGCCTTCGTCTACCTTGATACGGTTCTTCTTTGTCGGAAAGTTGCATTACATCCACAAGCATACGCGCGTCAGCAAGCCTCACCCGAGACCATGCAAGACCTTCAAAAGTGGGCGAAGACCCGGCAGAAACGTTTGACAAAAGCAAAAAACGCAGTGCAACCGAGTGGAAGGCATCATAGGGCCGGGACCGCACAGTGGATTGGCATGTGGAACCACAGCTGAAACGCCCAAACAGCAAAGGCTCTCCCAGACACATGGAGAGTTGATATCCGAATATGTTTCTGGAGATTGATATCGTTGCACTCCACCAGCTTAATTGGCCGAGGATTGCTTGGTTAAGTTTTTCAACGAACTGCAAAGAGACCTTGTTTTGTCGCATATGCAACATGATCGCAGCCCGAAGCCGCAACAAACCAGAGACACAGCCACCAAAACTGCACATCGCTCAGCTAAGCGGCTCAGATATGCCACCAACAGTATGGATCACTTTCGCTGGTTGTAAGGCATTCGCAAGGAGCCTTGTCAACAATGGTGCGAGCATCAAGAAAAGAAGCGGTTTACTGAAGCGATGACATGTCGGCGGCGGACACAGCTCTAGATGCCGCAGCTGCTGCGGCCGCTGTTGCCGCTGCAGCTGCTGAGCCTTCCGAGAAGGCGGGACGACAACTTCTTGGCGTGTTGGCGTGGATCATTTCGGTCAGGAGCTGCACACGACGCAACGGCGAAAGGCTCTTCTGGACCCCGAGGCGTCACAATGTCGTTTCTGCAAGTATAAATGCTGAAATTCCGACACGGTCTTGCCACAGCCCCCCGCTCCCAGCACGAACGAACAAATGCGAAAGTCTCCTGCTCTCAGGGTGTGGAGGCCACGCTGCTGATCTTGCATAAGGTCCACGGTGGATCAAGTGGATCAAGTGCCATGCCAAGAACCGCGCATCAGGTTGCGCGAGCTGAGTCTGCTTCTTCCGTCAAGGTGCCGCGGCACTTTTTCTCGCCCCAGCGCAGCAACGTACCACAATTCATGATTCATAGACCAAGAATCAGAACAGATCAGCAGACACTAGCTAAAAAGCAATGTCATTGCCGCGGAAGTTCCATTCCTCATAATGGAATTCGAACGGAGTCGGACTGCGCTTGACCCCAAATCCATCTGCTGGCCAGGCATCGGCGCCGGCCACGGCGTTTGCTGGCACTGTTGCGGTTCCGAGTCACACCTTCGTGGCAGGTACGCCTGGAAAGCACGTGCGTTGGGTCAGCGCCTGGGCAAAATGTGGCTGCAGCAGAACCTGTGCCAAAAGCTACCGCGTAGACATGGGGGCACTGGAGGAGAGAGTCTTCCGGGCAACTCTCGTCGAGCATGGGGAGCATCCCGAGTCATCGACGACAGAGTTTGATCGAGCACGATGGCACAGAGCGCAAGCCGTTGCGCGTGCGTCCATTGCAGCGGCACGCGCACTTACTGGGCGCCGGGGACACGGACGTGCCCATGCCAACCGAGCAGGCGCCCGTCCAAAACAGTCTGTGCATACCTTGGCATATATTCTGGTTCGAAACAGTCACAACTTCCCGGTGAGGTGCCAGGTGCCACAAGAACACAGCGCTTGTTGAGCTGCAGAAAAGGCGGCTCCAGGCCCGCATCCGTGCATTCGAGATCCTGCCACCCCTCGTGCGTCCGTGTCTCGGGCGCGATTTTATGGGGTGTGATGCGTTTGTGACCAGGTGATGTTTCTTCCGAACCTAAGGACAGCGTGAAGACTACACCCGTAGCAGCCGTCCGCAGAACTGGGCTGCCAGGCTTTCACTGAAAGACAGTGTTTGCGTCGAGTTTGCACTGTCATGGATTCCGGAGTACACAAGAATGAAGAAGACTTGCGATTCATCCAGTCCAGGACATCCGGCCACGTTTCCGGAGGGCCAGCCAGAGATGCAGTGTTCACGCAGGGCCAGCCAGGAATAAAAAGAACGTGCGCGTCGGAACTGATCTGAACTGAACTGGAGATCCCGAGATCCAGTCTCCTTCCATCTTTCAAAGACTATACCAAAATCATCTAATCTGATCTGTTCTGATCGGATGTGATTGCAAGGAAAAGCCAAAAAGGGAGCACGTCCCCAGAAGTGACACCGGCTTCCAGGGATGCGAAGTCGAATGTTGCTATCGAGAATCTCGAACTTTGGCAGCTGTTCCGCAGGGGTGGCTGCAGACATCAGATTCTAGGTGTTGGTGTCCGCCGTCTTGGTGGCCGTTTCGGTGTTTCTGGTGGCTGTGAATTCCTGTCGCTGCCGCAACATCGGCCTTGTTGTCGTCTCGCGCAGTTGGTCGAATGTGGCTTGAACCCTCCAACAGTTGACTTCATTGCGCAGACGATTAGTTGCGGGCATCGAGAAGCTGGCCAGTCCTAACAAGCACAGCGGTGCGAGTTTTTGGTGGAGACCAGAATGAGGCCCAGGAGTGTGAGGTAGGCAGGCACGCGATAGTTGCACATGCATTTGGGATGGGATCCTTTGAGGATGTGGAGCTCCAGCACGTCGATCGCAAAGGTCTGGCAGGGTGTTGCGATTGCCATGCCTTAATACACGACCGGAGGCAAAGAAAGACTGTAGCTCGTTAGTTAGAGTGGCGGTTTTTTTCTGAGAGCGAAGCTCCCGATTTTCGAGTCAGGTGCGGCGGTGGACGGCTTACCTCGAACACACCCGAGCTCCACGTGTTTTTTTTTGCAATGAAGATCGGCAACTAGCCGTCAGGCATCTAAAACGGTTTCGCATATGTTCGGAAAACTGATTTGGTGCATGTACAGTAGGAGCTCACAAGAGAAGAGTGGACGCATCGTAATATCTTGTTCAAACTCATCTGTGTTAGGATGGACTCACGCCCGCAGCGGCGCTACAATGAAAATTCAGACCTGGTCTCGCTTGCGGCCACCCCGCACAGCTGGCTCTGGCTCTTTGACGTGTGAAACAGGCTTGCCGAAGCTGTGGATCCACAGGTGAGATCTACGGCTCGCGCCACAACTTGGCATGGTTTAGAACATTGATCGTTAGCCGACGGAGGCATACATACCTTCACCCAGCGGAGAGCACGGCAGAATCGAGCCACATCGTTATTGCTGGTTTGGAACTGGGAGTCAAGTTCTGTGGCGCGCAGTCAGGCCGGAGTTGGAAATACCGTTGACGGCTTCAATGACCGGTACTCACGCGATGGCCAACGTGATGTTGTTGGAAATTCTTCAGACATGTCAAAAGCAATGCGTGGTGTGGTCCGTTCTGCCGAGTCAGTCTTGCGTACGCGGATATTGCCCACCACGTGAACTCCCACTACTGTGTCCGCAAGATATCCGCAAATTGAGTTCGAAAGGCAAAAGCAACCATCAGAAATGTTTGTTTCCTTTGTAATCTTTGAATCCTCCAAGCGCTTCCCTTCAATCATAACGATCTTATGGAACCAGTTGGAGGAGAGTTTACAAACTGATGTGAAACGGCTTTCAAACTGATTCTTTTGACGAACATTTGTGCACCGGACATAGTGTTCACCAGGGAGTGGCGGCAACCCAAGACCCTTACAAAACAAGCATATGAACAACAAAATCGAAAAAATATATAATGCTTTCAGAAATGTTGTAAACCTTCATATATCCCGGACTGAAACCTCAGTCAAACGATTACAAATCCACGCAGCCCTTGCAGCACCGGCGAAGCCCATTCAGCCGCTTAATGAAACCCTATGCCCAGAGACTCCCAAACCCCTGATATACCACACATATATGAAGGATCCCTCCATATTTAAAAGGTATTTTGGAGTAAGAACTGAGACATCATGTTCATGTGTTGAGGTGCATGTTTATGAATTTTGTTTTGCGGTGAGCCAATCAAAAATATGGGAATCGTCAAGCTCAGGACGCTAGGTTTGTTTACCCGCAGTTGCACTTGCAACGACTTCGTGTTAAAATGCCCGGCATGCCCAAACTTGAAACATGTAAGGTACATCTCGTTCTGCTGCTTTGCTGTGTTGAATGCACCTCGGCAGCATGTGTGTTTATCCGATTCTGGGGTTGTTTTCTCATGCAGCAGCGGCGCATGCCGGATCCGGATCAGAAGCGCTACGTCACTAAGTGTGTTCAGTTGGTTTGCCGGCGGTTCTGACCCACTGCTCGCACGGATGGCCGACCCAACTGTTCAACTTTGCGCGTGACCACAAATAGCAGCGTCTTGCGTGCTCTGAGAAGATTGGAGACTGGAGATGTAAAGGGCTAGTAGAGGGTCGATGCCTATGTGCTTCCAGGTCATGACGGGGGCCTCTTGGACTTTACGAGAAAGCCGTTTTGTGTTGTACGTGCACATCTCGGAGTTGAGCCAGCAAGACTGAAGAGAACAAACAGTAGCTTTGCTTGGTGGAATGGCGTGCAGCGTAGGTGTTTTGCCATTCTGCAATCGCTGGTGCTGAGCAAGACCATGAGTTCATGGTCCAGTCCATGGTGGGCGAGCAAGAACGGATGCTGTGCCTGTTTCGGTCTCATATGCTGCCACAAACCTTACATGCCTCCTGTGGTTGACGGCCGGATAACTCTTTCAATACTTGCAACGCTCCCATAACTAAAATTTCATATTGCAGGCTTTGCCACCAGTCTTTGCGAAGACGGCTAAGGATACGGACAGTGTTCTGTGAGCTCTTCCAGATGATGGACCACGACGAGAGTGGCATGATCACGATAAAGGAGTGGGACAATAGCTCGAGGTTGTGACACTATATGCAACGATGGCTCGCAACAAACCTCACAGTAATTCATGACAACAGTTGTTGTTGTGTAGCCCACGTCGTCATGCTCGAACCCACATGTGTGAGTTCCGTGCCCCGATGCCCACTGCCCGAAGCCAGGAGTTCGAGCATGGCTTCAAGGTGGAGAGCACGAGAGCATGGTTCGAGGCATTGGGCATCAAGGCAGGCTTGCATGGACTTCTATTTCCTCTGATGGCGAGTCCTGATTCCTAAATGCGGCTCGAAACCCAGCAATGTGGGAAGAAGTTTGCAGATGGACTAAGGAAGACTCAGAGGGATTGCCATGAGTGTCCAGGGTCGTTGACCTGAACTCTTTAGCCCTCTCGTCAGGCAGAGGATGCATGGACAATCTTCCGTAGCCTGGATCGAGACGCCTGCCTGTGTTGCGTGCATCTGGGTGTGCAGTGCAAGGCTGCGGATGGAGTTTTTGCAGGCGTAGAGGTTCTCTGTGGCTGTGGACTTGTCTAAGACACTGAACTTCCCGAATCCTCCGAGGATGGTGATCACCGAATCGGGATCAGCGAGTTTGTGGAGGGCTGCATCAACATCCGTGGGCCCGCGAGGGAGGTCGACTTGATGCGACAGCCGCCGGGCTGAAGCCTTCCCCGAAAAAGGCAGAAGCCTGCAAAGGACAACGGTTTATGCTTTAGGGTATAGGGTTTAGGGGTCATTCGCTTAGGGCTTTGAGGGTGTAGGCTGTAGGATTTGAGGGTTTAGCTGTGCCACGAACAGGTTTTGAGGGTTTAGCTGTGCCACGAACACCCGGAAAGCAGTCTGGCACACTACCCTAAAGCCTAAACCCTAGTTGCCCAGGTCCCAGAGGACACACCAACAACTGCAGGCAGTTGAAGGAACTCTTGTGGACAGCCTCGTCCTCTTGAAGGACGGTGTTTTAAAACCCTAAGCCCTAAACCGTCGAAGCGTTTCAGGAATGTGACATTGTAGATCCTATTGCTGGGCATGGTAAAGGTCAGTGTGTTTGCCACAGTCGATGTTCTTTCCCTTCGGCTTTGCACATAGCAGTGCTTGCGCAATCAGATGTGCTTGATTTCTGTTCGTGATCAATGACGGCACCTTGCACTCCCACGAAACCTCTCGTAGGACGTCGCTGCGCAGCTCATCGCTCCTCGACGACATAGAAGTACAATCGAATCCTAAGCCCTGTCACCCTTGGCCCCATGCAGACCGAGGACACGTCGGAGTCCATCAGGGCATCGCAGTCTCATGATGCTCAGACCCCTGAACCCCGCCTGGTCCAACAAGAGACGGCGGACTCCTCGCACCTGCAACGCATCGAGGATTGCAGCTCTCCAAGTGCTACTTAAGTGACGTAGATTTTTGCTCTCCATGAAAAGCTTCCGGAAGCTTGTGCAGCACATCAGAACCGAGCAGTTAGTTACAGTTAGTTGGCATGGGTTGTCTCATTTGTTATCGTAGTTTTTCTACTGACGTTTTCAAAGCTCTCGCAAGGGCGAGGTGCCCCCTCGCTCTCACGGCACACAGCTCACGTCGGGGATGGGACGGCCAAGCCATCTAGCCCCGGCCCCTGCGGTCGCCATACTCTGCAGTCGGCAGTAATGGAAAAGGATTCCAGGGCTGCGATTTGTGCTCGTAAGCAAGGGCATGCGGTCACGAGAGCATACGCTGCATGTTGTGCTATTCCTATGTAGTACTTGGAGGCCCTTTTGACTTAGTAAGTCTACTTAGTATCCCCCAGGAGCCCTATTATAATCCCCATAACCCACCTTACTAACCCTACTTACTAAGTCAAAAGGGCCTCCAAGTGTAGTATTAGGGAGACACCTTCAAGGCGACCCTTCTTAACCCTACTTCTGGCGATGTCTTAGGGTTACTTAGAAATAATTTTAATCTTTGGCTACTATAAACCCTAAGAAGCAGCTAAAATTATAATTTTTGGTAGGGGCCAAAGTTCAGTATAGATGTGGAGAGGGTTTTTATCCCCAAGGGTCCCGCTAATCCTAACTCCCAGCTATCAGATGGCCCCCTTATAGGGTCAACCAATTATGCAAACCATGGAAATCCCACTCTGATCAGGGACGGCCCCTAAACCGAAAACCCTAAACCTTAAACCCTAAAACCCTAAAACCCTAAACCCTTAACCCAAAACTCTAAACCCTAAACCTTAAACCCTAAAACCCTAAAACCCTTAACCCAAAACTCTAAACCCTAAACCTTAAACCCTAAAACCCTAAAACCCTAAACCCTAAACCTAAACTCTAAGCCCTAAACCCTAAATCCTAAACCCTAAACACCAAACCAAGACTGAGTAGGATGTAGGTTGCAGCTCTTGAGATGCAGGGTAGGGATATATAGGGCTTTGGCGTTCATTACGCTGGAATC